GTTTATACTTCAGATAGATTATTTCTCACCACAAGTCACAATTAGACCTTATCCATACACAGAAGCTCCTTTTATTTAAGAACGCTTATATTCGTAAAACAATTATTGTTTATACTTCAGATAGATTATTTCTCACCACAAGTCACAATTAGACCTTATATCCATACACAGAAGCTCCTTTTATTAAAGAACGCTTATATTCGTAAAACAATTATTGTTTATACTTCAGATAGATTATTTCTCACCACAAGTCACAATTAGACCTTTATCCATACACAGAAGCTCCTTTTTATTAAAGAACGCTTATATTCGTAAAACAATTATTGTTTATACTTCAGATAGATCATTTCTCACCACAAAGTCGCAATTAGACCTTATCCATACACAGAAGCTCATTATATTTAAGAACGCTTATATTCGTAAAACAATTATTGTTTATACTTCAGATAGATCATTTCTCACCACAAAGTCGCAATTAGACCTTATCCATACACAGAAGCTCATTTTATTTAAGAACGCTTATATTCGTAAAACAATTATTGTTTATACTTCAGATAGATCATTTCTCACCACAAGTCACAATTAGACCTTATCCATACACAGAAGCTCCTTTTATTAAAGAACGCTTATATTCGTAAAACAATTATTGTTTATACTTCAGATAGATTATTTCTCACCACAAAGTCACAATTAGACCTTATATCCATACACAGAAGCTCCTTTTATTTAAGAACGCTTATATTCGTAAAACAATTATTGTTTATACTTCAGATAGATTATTTCTCACCACAAGTCACAATTAGACCTTTATATCCATACACAGAAGCTCCTTTTATTAAAGAACGCTTATATTCGTAAAACAATTATTGTTTATACTTCAGATAGATTATTTCTCACCACAAGTCACAATTAGACCTTATCCATATAACAGAAGCTCCTTTTATTAAAGAACGCTTATATTCGTAAAACAATTATTGTTTATACTTCAGATAGATCATTTCTCACCACAAAGTCGCAATTAGACCTTTATCCATACACAGAAGCTCATTTTATTTAAGAACGCTTATATTCGTAAAACAATTATTGTTTATACTTCAGATAGATCATTTCTCACCACAAGTCACAATTAGACCTTTATCCATACACAGAAGCTCATTTTATTAAAGAACGCTTATATTCGTAAAACAATTTATTGTTTATACTTCAGATAGATTATTTCTCACCACAAAGTCACAATTAGACCTTATATCCATACACAGAAGCTCCTTTTATTTAAGAACGCTTATATTCGTAAAACAATTATTGTTTATATTTCCAGATAGATTATTTCTCACCACAATATCACAATTTGACCGTGTCCATATGCATAGGCTCAATTAAGTTGGAGGTAAAATGAATTATGTGACATTTAAGTTTCACAGATTTTGACTGGAGCCTTGTTAATTTAAGTTGATAAGTCATGTGACTATTAACCTCTTGCGCCACACAGGCAGCTTGGGTTATCCGGGTAATAATATGTCTTCGCTATGAACATGCTGTCGGTGTGGATTTAGCGCAATAATTATGGACTAATTATTATTATTATGTTTTACAGATTTAAGATAGTATGCAGCAGAGAGGGTTCGGGTGATCCTGGCACAGTCAGGCTGGTAAGGCTCATCATCAGCTCAGGGCCCTTGCCTCCCTCTACACGCAGCTCAGACAGCGAATGGGACTTCTCCCAGGAAACGCTGCCTAGTCGAACCCACCAAGAACTTTCTCTGAGAATGTGTAGACTCCTTAACACTGCAGCCTTCTGCATTACCCAGAGTGTCAGAAGGGCTGTAATTCCCGGTGGAGAACCTGGGCACTCTCCTGATCTGCGCCAAGAGATCAGGAGGTACCCAAACCAAGGGCACTGAGAACAATGGGGAGCCTGACGACAGTGTACTTGGGATGCAAGCGAGACATTTCCAAAGGCGAGGTCCGCATATTTATCATGCTTTTCCTTAATCTTGCCAATCACATTGGTGTCAAAAAGGGACAGAAAATTCAATGATATAATCACTGGCTTTATCAAAGAGGACAAGATCAGGTTTGTTGGCAGGAATTCTTCTGAGGCTGTATATGGGCCTATTCCACAGAAGTTTGAAAGCATCATTTTCCATGACGCCCTGGACATGTTCAGGGTCGTACCATGGATGGACTTCGGTGTCAAAAGCCACAGGCATGGCGGAGACGGTAGTAAAACAACGAGCCATTCCATCATTTCTTTCAGATATGCTGTTTGTGATGTAAGGAAGGGCATCCACTGACAAGGTGTTGGACAGTCTCTGTAAATTCGTTACATAGTCGACATTTCATATTGATATTTTCTTTATAAAGAATAACATTTTGGCGATTGCGAGTGGAAGTGACTGGTCCTGAACAGCAAAAGGGAAGCCTTCAGTTTCACATTTAGGGGCGGTGGGGTAACCTAATGGTTAAAGCGTTGGCTCGTCACGCCGAAGACCTGGGTTCGAATCCCCACATGGGTACAATGTGTGAAGCCCATTTCTGGTGTCCCCCAAGTGCGGTGATGTTGCTGGAATATTGCTGGAAAGTGGCGTAAAACCAAACTCAGTCAGTCAGTCAGTCAGTTTCACATTTAAGACCAGCCGACTTCATCTAGGCGAAGGAGTCGGTGGATTGCTATTCTGTTCCTACACACTGCATGTATACACGATGCAATGGCTTCTCAGAAAGAAAGGACTTCACCTGGTTTACTCCCATCGCTGTACCGTCAAATTTCAGATTCTGTCCAACAACCTTGGCATGCTTAAAATAGCTGTCGACTTCCTCTGGCTTTCATCATGAGTCTTGACATCACCAGAGGGTCATCCGATAAATATGTGCAAAAGTACACACAAAAGAATTCTACTCATGGACAGCCTCCACATTAATCAAACCCCGACCTCCAGAATTGATTGGCATATCTAAACGATGGAGAGAAGAACGAGGGTGGTGGGCTCTGTTATCAGACACGATCCTTCTGGTCAGGCGGTCAAGACTCTGGATGTCTTGTTTCGTCCAATCAACTACTCCAAAGGAATAGGAAAGGACTGGCACAGCATAAGTATTGGTGGCTTTTACTTTGTTTCGAGCATTTAGCTCTGAGCTCCAGATTTTCTTTAGGCGAGAATTGTACCGTAAATATTATTATGTTATTATTGTTTTGTTATTATTTTATTATTATTCTGTTATTATTTTGTCATTATTATTACCAGTTGTGTTCACAAACTACTGTGGCCTTGATCCCTCACCAAAGGCATACCAGCGACACACTGAAGTCAATATTTTGTCACCTGTGTAGTTCCACCGATGAATACTCTATGTCAAGAGTAACAGGTGGACTCACTGACAAAGCTATGCTATACTGTATATTGTGGCATATAGGACGTGATGACTGACATACATATGTCAATGTAGGTAATAAAAGCCAGACAGGCTGCAACCTTTGTCGAAACTGGACATGCAGAATTAAATCGGTCTAAACATAATTTGATTTCCAAGAAATCTGGATCGGTAATAAATAATATGTAAATACCTCTCCAGGTAATGTGTTGAAATGGTTGGTTTGTACACATAGATAGTGCTAAACATAATGAAATTATGTTGCAACCAATGAAATGCATGAAGTCAGTATTTTGAAGTCAGTGGTGTCTGTAAAACATAATAATTATGCAGTTATCCTTTATCCCTTCTGCGAAAGGACCTTCATAATTAATGGCTGGAGGGTGGGGTGGGGGTTGATGATGTGTGTGCGTTGGGGGTCCGCCCAGTTTGTTCTGGGGGAGGTGTAGAGGCGATCATCAGGTTTGTATACATGAGCTAGGGTGGTGTCATTGATTTTGTACATGACATGCCGGGGGTCACTTCACCTTGTACATAAATTAGGGGGGCGGGCGGTATTGACATTGTCCATGCTTCTCCATAAAAGCATCATCATCATCATCACCACACACACACACCTCTTAGCCATTATAAACGATTTCTAAGTTTAAAATTGCTCCAATGTTTCGTTTTGGGCGATAAAATCGTGAACTGATTCAATGATGTCCATGTTTGTTGAACTGCTGACTGAACTATGGCTAGCTAAAAGTATTGATGTCAGAATTGAATTTCAGAATGTTGGTTGTTAAAAGTGGTTTTAGAAAATGTTAACCAGATATCTATTGAACAGCTGGTCTCGTCATTAGGACATATTCGTGCGAAGTGTTTGGTCTTAATAAAACAAACCACCAGTTGTCTGGTCAATATTTGAACCACTTCAGAAGCTCGTTTCTATTTGAAAAAACCCGTAAAATAAACAGGGCAATTGTAAAGGTACAGGAAGATTATCTGTTGCCACATAATAAAAATGCTTACCTTATCCTAAGACAGAATTTCATCTTTATTTATTTTCATTCCGAGAAGTTATTTGCTCTGAGAGAATATTTGTCGTCATTAACTATAAAGACAGAACCTGCAGACGGGTTAGTATCGGTCTTCAGCAACCAATGCTTGTCAAGAGGCGCCTGACGGGTGGTCAGGCTCGCTGGCTTGATTTGATTGACACGTGTCATCGTATCCCAATTGCGTAGATCGATGCTCATGCTGTTGATCACTGGATTCGGAAGTGCGATCAACCAACCAATCAACTACAAGAAATAGATTTCCTTCCTCTGAGAGGAGACGATGAGTTTTATTCACAACACATTTTGTTTGAGATGCAGCATGTAAACCGGAATGTTCTATTTTACTTTAAAACCCATTTTTTAGATTACATAAAAGTTTAACATTTTCTCGAACAAATGAATTGTTTTACAAAGAAAATCGATCCATTTGTCAGAGATTCAGCTTTTCACCGAAAGTTGTATTTACACCCATTTCCAGATATAACAAACCATATACCTTTCTGGAACAAACACTTTGTTTGCAAAATATAAATAATCACATACCAAATGAGTCGGCCCCTACAGTACGCTGATATTCTTGTAGGAGTCAACTCTGGCGTTATGCCTCATGGATCTTGTACGACTGAGAGGAAACCAATGGCTGGAGAAGATGATGAACTATTTCAAGAAATATCTTCCAAAACTGATGCTCGGTGACCAAGACCTCATCAATATATTTTTTCATTTTGAATCCAGGTAAGAACACGTATCGAGGAAATCCGTTTCATGAGATGAATAGATCAACTGAAATCGTGTCATAATGTTACAAGAGAAACGGTGTTTTACATGAATGAAAACTATTAATAATAACAGTAATAATTGTGAATATAAAATGCGCCTTTTCCATATACGAGTGACTGAGTGAGTTTGGTTTTACGCCGCTTTTAGCAATATTCCAGCAACATCACGGCGGGGACACCTGAAATGGGCTTCACACATTGTGCCCATGTGGGGATTCGAACCAGGGTCTTCGGCGTGACGAGCCGACGCTTTACCCATTATTAGGCTACCCCACGGCCCCTTTCCATATACGAGACACATGCTCACATAATCTGATTATTATTACCCCGGATTACACCAGCTCCTTTGGGAGGTAGAAAGTTAATAGTCACATGACTTATCCCACCGGGTACCCGGGTAGGGCAAGTGAGTTTATTCACAATTACCTGTTACGACGTAAATTGTAATAAAACGCAAATTGTAATACTTGCAGCAAATTGTAATAAACTTGACGTAAATTGTGTAAAAAACGTAAATTGTAATAAAAATTGACGTAAATTGTAATACGCAAATTGTAATAAAATTGACGTAAATTGTAATAATTTTCGTTGCGGTAAAATGTAACAAATAAGTTTACGTAAATTGTAATAACAGTTTTTAATCACTCGTAAATACGCGGCTGTTCTGTTTTCGTTGCATTTCATACATCAAATAAGCTTGTTAGGGCGATAACTCAAGAAAGAAATGATGGAGTTTGTTCAAATTTGGTACCAAGGTATATTACGAGATTCACCGACACAGTAAGGAAATGGAGTGACCTTGAGATAATTTTCAAGGTCACAGCAAAAATCTGAGGGTTTTGCCAATATAAAGATTGTTAGCGCTGATAACCCAAGAAAGAACTGACAAATCTTAGCCAAATGACGAAAAATAATATTCGTCCTGATATATATCTGATATAAAATCTCTTACTGTCCCTCTGTATCATGTCTTTTCGCAAATATCTTTAAGGTTTTGATATGTATAAATATAAAGTGGGGGGTGGGTGGGGATGGGTATGGGTTTCTAACGGGTATATCAAATCAAATCAAATCAAATTACACATTTGAATAGCGCTACATATCCAGAGTCCTGCCTATGTGCGCTTAGTCGAATGCTCGTTTGAAGAGGATGGTTTTGCGCGACAAGATCGGAAACTGTTGATATTTTCCGTTTTCTGACATTTTCAGTAATCAATTCCAGAGTACAGCACCCGGTCTGCTAAATGATCTGTCTCCGTATGTTGTGGTTCGGACGAAAATGGAATAGCCTTAGCTGACTAGCAAATGGAATGCATCACAAATTAAACTTCAAGAAACAAAATATGCAAGAAACACATTTTGTATGTTTGAGATTGGTAGAGGTCGGCTAGAATCAAACTTAGATATTAAACTTCACAAAAAGGCAATTTGAAACTACAATCGCTTGTTCAAATGACTCCCCTTCGGTTTACTGGAAAGAACTCGAGAAAGATATTATGGATTTTGTTCAAATTTGGTACCAAGGTTTATTGACGAGATTTTACTGACACCACTTGAATTTAGTGACCTTTGAGGTCATTTTAAAGGTCACAGCGAAGGTGTAACAGTTTTGCACATGCCAAGCTTGGTAGCCGCGAACTTGGTAGCCGCGTAGAAGAATTAATAGATTTTGATCCAATTTTATATCAAGGTGTATTGGCGGGAATCCTACTACACCAATTGAAACAAAATATGCAAAAAACATGTTGTATGTTGGTAAAGTCAAACATAGATATTAAACTGCACAAAAAGCAATTTTAAACTATAATCGCTTGTTCAAGTGACTCCTTCATGTTTACTGAAAGGGCTTGTTTTTGGAGACAGTACCACCCCCTTTCAGTTGACGTCATCATAAGGATATAACTCATCCTAAAAGTTTTCACTTATTCAAACATGGTGTCAAGGGGTTCAAACTAAATACTGAATGGTCACACAAGTGTCAGCTCTCAATACGTTGTATATCTGGACACAATGTTTTTGAAAATTTAAAATGAGGGTGTCCTAAAAAAAACTAGTCCCCGTCTAAATGTAAATCAAGCAATCCAAATCTTTGAATGTTGATGATGACGGGAAGTCATCCAATACTATGCTGAACATATTTTATATGATACTATCTGAGGGTATACCATTATCCAAGAGATAGCGCAATAGTGCAGTTGTAAGGCGTCTGCCTATCACGCTGAAGGTCTCTGTTTCGAGGAGGCACTGAGGTTCGGTCTCCTGAGATGGGCACATTTGCGTAGTATCCTTGGACATGATACTTAGATCTACACTGTCTCAGTTCACCCAGCTCTAAAATGGGTACCCGTGAGTATGTGCTGGCAATGTGAGTGTTGAGTTCATTGCGCCTAACATGCAGCATGGCTGTACAGTCCCCAGGGAGTTGAAAAGTATCGGAAACTACGATAGTGTCCTTTGATCGGGGACAGTAATTGTGTACGTAGCGCCGTGAGCAGGCAATGTGCCTGGATGTGAGCGCCATATAAGCGGACTATTACTATTATTAGATATCAAATGGGAGATCGTTTTCCGTTTTCTGCAAAATTGCAAGAAACATAATACCCCAAATGTTGTGATGACTAATATCTCGTTAACCACATTACCCACATGAAATTTTAGATATGACTTTGCTAATGATTCCTTCAAAATAAAATGGAAGCTTCTTTCAAACATTGACATCGAGAATATAGTTAGTTTGACTACTTTTCAACGCCCCTCGTAACATACTTAAAAGAAATGAGAACGTCTTAAGGAAAAAGCATTTTCGATCTCTGAATACTCTGAGCTATTTAAATACAAAAAGCAAAGGAATAAAGTAAATAATCTGAAAAGAATAGCCAAGGGAAACTTATATTCTAATTTTGATAACTATTTATCACCTCAGTCTAATACTCCTAATCAGGTGTTTAGTACTTCATCGGGGCCCACCTCTCTTTCTTGTCACTGATGATTCTGTTATACCTTCAGTTTTTACAGATTTGGATAAAGCTCAAACATTAAATGAATATTTTGTATCTGTTTCAAATGTTACTGATGGTGGCAAGACTTTGCCACCTGTTAGCCACGCTGTGTTAAAAGTATAACAAATGTCATTAACACGTCACAATTTAATTCTGACTCACAAAAAGTCCAGAAACTCTCCAAGCACTGTGGGTACTTTCTGACAAGTGATTTGGACCAAATTAAACCAGTTGTTAAGTGAATATATGCCAAGGATGAAATTTTTTTGCGAAAACTTTAGATTTAGTCCTCGCTCGCCCATGGGCCGGTCCATGGGCGAGAATGCTTTAAGTTTGCTCAGAATTCATGTTTTGGAGGTTGTAAATGAATGAGTGTATGTTTATAAGCATCTTTGACACAAAATTCAACTCATTTTGACTTAATTCGACTAAGTTAGAACGATATTAAAAACTCTCGCCCATCAAATTATATAATTCTGTGAGACATGAAATGAAAAATAGTGGAAACATTTTTTTTTGTCGTAATGTTGCATTGCTGTACCTTTACCCGTCGGAGAAGTCCTCTCAAAAAGATATATATTCCGTTGTTTGAGCAGGCCTATATGACTATTACGCCCCATTGCTGCTAAACAACTCGTGGTAGACCTTTAGTCTGACATAGACGCAGACCTTGCATGTTCAAGTTCACATCTGATAGGGGCCGAAAAAATTGAACTGACATGAATGCAATATCTCAGTGGGTTATTGTTTTCCTAAGTAAGTGGAGTCTTCTACAACATTGGAGACAAGTGTGTATCGCTGTCCTTCTGATATTCCCCAACGGAAGCTTCTACCCATTTTAGGTACAATGTGCATGTTACAGAATAGTAGGGAATAGTCTGAAGACGTTTCAACCTCTGACCAGGATTCTCCGAACTTTGTAACAGTCGTTTGAGAGATCAAAAGAGAAAGGGTAGTGCGCGATGTATCTGACGGACGTATGTGGAGAACGTTTGAAGAATGTTACTGTATAAATACAATAATTGAAATACCAGTTATGTTTAAAAGTACCCCAAATCTGATAGCCAGAGAGATTATTGTGAAAGATCGCAGTATTTATCTTCATAAACGGGCCAAGATAAAAGTACATGCCATTCATCCCCATATTATATCCCTTCTATAGACACGAGACATCGTTGTTACAGGTAGGGCAAACACTGTCTTCTATAGGTATCTGCCGGTTTCACGCTACATACATGTATTCAAATTATTGAGAAAAACTAGCGACGCAAGATCTCCTCCATCTACACATATAATTGTATACATACCCAGTGATTAGTGATAGCGTTGAAGCAACTTATTAAAATTTACGACAGACACTAATCATCAGCTGCAGTAGTACTTAAGCAAGCCATACCTAGCATCGTATTTATTACTCTTTACATAAGGTGAAATATCACAGGGTTGTCATGGTAACGATAATTTGGCATACTATTTATTGTCTTACTCTTTAATCAGCGATTAGAATTCTAAACCAGTTTTGAGGTCAGCATGTTAAGAGAAAAGAAGTTGTAAAATGAAAAGTATTGTGATCGAATCTATTGGCCTTTGTAAACGCAAGTTTCAAGCCACCTACATAAAACCTGTTTTTTCATGATAAATATCTTGCTAATCCGTGGCATGATTCCGACCATATCATGAGCATGTGTTTGTGAATCATAATGAAATAGTGATGTTACAAGGCGTCCATGCCGCGTCAACAAACACATGCAAACGCACGAAAATTGCAATACGAGCCCCTACACCAATGATTCTCCGTGACCTGGGGACACTTGTGATTGAGCGTATGTAGGGACGTAGTCTGTCATACAGACCCTGAAGCAAATATATCCAAGTCCACGCAAGTCTAGAAAAATGTGGCAAGTCTAGATTTCCACAGCTTCAGGAGAATGTCTCAGGGCTCCTTTTATTATTATTT